GCTTTGGATTGTTGTGGAATTTACTTGTTTGTTAGTGTTAGTTTATTTATTTAGTGGTCATTTCATAAAAGACTATTACAATAAGGACAATTAGTAGTGTGATAGTGCATTCTAGTAGGGTTCTTATTCAACCGTCAGTTGGTGGTGAGTTACATTACCAATGCCTTTCGTATAATTCGAAATATTCCCGGTATCTGGGCCAAAATTCGTAGCAACTGTCGCTGTCACTGTTGCATTAAAGCGAATGGCGGACAATTTCAACATTTTTTATAAAAGGTACGCTTTTCTTTTTCACTTTTACCTTTTTTTTACAAGGTGGAAGTGCAATCGGCTTCTTCCCAATAGGTACTTGTTACATCTACACAAGATCAGCTGAGCGACGTTAGATTGAAAAATTGTATAACACTTTTTTGTTGTATTTTGTGTCAGGAAGCCATGTTTTTTTTTTAATTATTATAAATGGGACACCCTGTATAGAGGTATCTAAGCCAATTGAATTGTTCTTTATTAATAAAACTATTAATATAATAATTACAATTTTAGATCCTTCTAATTTAAATTTAATTCAAACAAGTCTCTTCATAAAATCGTATGAAACTTCATAAAATCCAGTCCTTGAAAGACTAAATCAAGTACGCGTTTACGGCATTACACATAATTATCATTTGCCGATTTTCTACAACCTTTAACCTCTACTAATAGAACATTATTGCATACAATTATAAATCTGGCCAATTTCGATGTCCTTTCAAAATGCCCTGTTGTAAGTAACCTTCGTTTCTCAATATCCAGACGCAAAAACCTGAGATAGATATCATCTTTACGCGGTCCTTTAGAATATCTGTTTTTCGTCATCTCGTATAGCTGAAGGGCGTGCTTACGTCGAGAAGGCGGTTGCAGACCTGCTTTATCACTATCAGAATCCGACGAGGTTAACATCATAACGCGGGAAAGTCGTGCTCAACAGCTGCTGCGGGGTCAAATAGCCACGTTGTATTGAACTGATGAGAAAATGGTGGTGATTTTAGCAAACGAGAGCTCGTCAGTGGATTCGAGAAGCAGCAGCGGCAGATCGTCCTTGTATCTGACTCACATTATTATCAACAACTTCGTTAAAAAAGCTTTCCGTAGGAGATATTGTATACTGGGGGTAACATACGTATATCGCGAATCAATCTTGTAACACGGGAAGATACAGTGGGAGCGACGCTAAATATCCGCAATTTCAAGGTTATTATATTAAGCAAACAGATGAGGCTTACAATATAACTACAAGGAATTTTAGTGATGTAGGGTACTGTAGTAATAATATAAGAAACGAGGGAGAGGTCATTTTGATAGAAAATGAGGAAAAGGCAGACAGATGG